TCTTAGGTTAGGTTAGGTTAGGTTCCTGCCCTGTAGGCCTGATCACCCTGCAGTGAAGGAATGTGTACTACTCTGTTGTGTCGAATTTGTTTCTTTGCCATTGCTGGGCCCAGCAAAATCATCCCCTGGAAGTGAGTTTTCCTTCCAGTAGACAGAGTCGTTGACCTGGTTTTCTGTTGTTGTCCCGGGAGGTTAGGTTTTCGTGGGGGAGGTTGTGCCGTGTGTACGTGCTCAACGCTCAACGGCACTGTTTATTTTGTTGCGTGGTTGGTACTACTGGCTGCGTCTGCTGGACGTTCGTCGGGTGACATTTGTGTCTCCCGTTTCTCAGATGTTGGGTTTGAGATTGCTCCCAAACTACGGGGTACTCTTCCGGAAGAGTTTTCTTTTGTGAACCCTGAAGATTTTACTTTCATAGATCGTTTCACTACAGCTCAGTATGGAGCATTTCTGCGAGTAGAGTATTCATACCACGGGGTCGGCGACTCCACTTGAAACCTGCCACCATTAGAATGCTAACAACTGCACCACGATGAGCCTTCTCCCAGGCGGATGGGACTGCGCCACACCACTGACTGTGCACCACCCGCTGATGGCGATACCTACACAGCTAGGCCTATGTCTACTCCGTCCTAATACCGTGCTGCAGTGTCTGGGGAGCGGCCACCATGTTCTCGGCCTACTTCTACTTCCTGCTAACTCACCTGGATGCCAGCAAGGTTTTACGGTCAGGTCAGTCCAGTCCATTTGGAGAGTCTCATCCATCATGACGAAATCTCACTCAACATAGGCTTTTTATTTAACTTATATAACAAAAATCTGTAATCTTTTTACCTGCAATTTAACTAATTAGTCCTTCCTCTCTAAATTCAATGTACTTAACATTTTATTCAAGTTTTAAATTCCATTCTTTTAATTCTGTTTCACACCCCTTGATTGAGGGTAAAACCTTTTTTTTGCCCTTGACGGTTAATTTTAACCGCTTGGAAATAATTATTAGGCTTTGCGAGGCGACCACATTTGTTGATATGTGTAAATGTTTTTCATGTTCGTTTAAATGTAAAAGTTATTTATTTTAATGTAGGCCTAGGACTAAAGGCATTAAATTAATTGTTTGATTTTTATAAGGTGGCCACCTAAGCTAATTTGTTTTAAATTTGTTTGAGTTAGTACACTAAATGTTTTTGCAAAATGTCACTTAGGCCTAATGTCACTTAACTCGATTTTCAATTTTAAATTAAATTGCATTTTTATAAAAGAAATTGTTAAATGTTTTAAAAGCTTTAACTTAATTATTATCTTGGCTAGGACAATGTCTTATTTATTATTGTTATTTATTATTGTTGCATTTATATATACATATTTTAGAATGAATAAATTTATATTTGTGTCCAGCCAGCTCTTGTGTTGTTATTGTTGGTCCTCCACCTCAGCAATATTGAGCCGGAATCCCACCATTGATTTTGCGCTTCCAAGGGCTTCACCCTTTTGATCAATGGAGTTGGGAATTCGGTTACAACAGTCAAAATGTGTGTTGAAATTTACCTGTATTATTCCATTAAAATCACTCAAATTTACCTTCCCTATGGCTCGTGAAACCTTCTTTTGCTAATCGCTAAATCCCCTTATAGTCCAGTCAATGAATGCTCAAAAGGGGGGTGTAGAGGACATGGAGAGGGGGAAATTTTTTTTCTGCAGGAATGTGTTCGGGGTAGTTAGAAGATAAAAATACCAAAAGTCCCCGCCCCTGGCCCTGCTGCTTCTGTGGTGGGAGGGGGGGAAAGACCCCATTTTTTAGTTTTTTACTTCTACACTGAAAACCGTGCATCGTACGGAAAAAATGTAAATTATAAAAAGAAAGATGATAAAATTCTCTACAAGAATGGTCATATTCATTTCTTCCGTATATGCATTGGTTTAAAAGATATTCTCAATTTAATATAAAAATTTTTAAATCAATTGATTTTTCACGCGTTTTTTATCAAATAAGTTTGTATAATCCATTAGCCTGTTGTTGTTTCACATCAATCAGGATAGAAAACAGGTTTTCGAACACTAACCTATACAATATAATATATCAATCGTATATATTGTGTTAAAAATAGTTTATATAAATTTAAATAAGTCATGTATAATTGTCATGGAAACAAGTAATTTTGGCATAATTATTACACTAAAAATTTAAAAGATTGTGTTTGTAGCTATATTTGTCCAGGTTTATTTATAACAATTACCGAAACCAATATTATTGTTCATGGTCTGGCTCATTTAAATTTATATATATTAAATATATATATACATATATATACATTAAATATATATACATTAAATATATATATTTAAATTTATATAAACTATTTTTAACACAATATATACGATTGATATATTATATTATATTGGTTAGTGTTCGAAAACCTGTTTTCTATCCTGATTGATGTGAAACAACAACAGGCTAATGGATTATACAAACTTATTTGATAAAAAACGCGCGAAAAATCAATTTATTTAAGAATTTTTATATTGAATTAAGAATATCTTTTAAACCAATGCATATACGGATGAAATGAATATGACCATTCTTGTAGAGAATTTTATCATCTTTCTTTTTATAATTTACATTTTTTCCGTACGATGCACGGTTTTCAGTGTAGAAGTAAAAAACTAAAAAAATGGGGTCTTTCCCCCCCTCCCCCCGATGAAGCAGCAGGGCCAGGGGCGGGGACTTTTGGTATTTTAATCTTCTACCTACCCCGAACACATTCCCGCAGAAAAAAAATTTCCCCCTCTCCATGTCCTCTACAATCCCTTTATTGACTGGACTATTAGGTTAGAGGTAACTTCCTCTTTTGAATGCATACTAATTCGTAAGGTGTATTCATGAATTAACTTTAATAATTTTTTTAATTTGAAAATTTCCCAGCATACCAACTAGTGACCAGAATTGCTTTAGCACTAATTAAGTATGTGGGACATTACTGTAATCATCTTAATACCACAATTTTTCTGACAATTCAACTACAAAGAAGTAAAATATTGTCCTTTTTAAATTAGTAATTCCTGTGGATTATTTTAAAGTATTACTGTACTTGCATAGTAACCAGTCAAATCAATGACCAAAGATAAAAGTTTTAATAATTAATGAAGTTGTATGATTCTGACGAAGTCATTATTGTCATACAACACGTTTAATAATGTAATGCTCGTTAATTATTCATCAACTGGCTAAAACCATGCATTGGAAAATTCCACACCAAATTTAATTTTATTTATGTGGGAAACAATACATGGGGGCACAATACAATTGTATTATTTCATGAAATTACGATGTAATGTTTTTAATTGCGTAGAAAGTGTAAGCTTGTAATGGTAGCTTTTGGAAACCAATTCCGTATGAACTTAACAGTTATATAGATCCAGTATATAGAGTAGAGAACAGATGAATATATTTCTCCGTTGACGGGAGAAGCTTGAGTGTAAAAGAGATTGATGTTTGTAATGTTTAGTTCTCTCTCTCTTGCTACAATCTATCAACATGAATCATCTGAACGACAGTTCAAGCTCCTCGTCTATTACACTTTGAAGGATTTCCGTTAATATCAATTTTATATATTCATATGTTTCAGTTTTTCGAATGAAGATTTTGTAAAGCAAATCTTGAGAGCTTTAATATTTTTTCATAACAAACTAAATTAAATACATTTTTGGAACAGTAACTTTTATAAATTGGCTAGCTGACACTGTAGAACCTTGAACATTTGTTATCATCATGCAAATCTGTAATTTCTTCGTTGCTTTTTACTCTGCGCCAGTTTTGTTATTAACAAATGAATCGACGCAGTTAAACTGTTGTACATATAATATCTGCAAGCGTTATTGTTACCAGTTAAGCTAAACGTAAAGAATGCAGATAGGGCGATAAGCGGGATTAATAGCTCGTTAAAAACCCATTTCCTACTTACAATTGCTTTTGCACATTGATATCCTTAATAGGTATAATTTTTTTCTATAGCTATTTTTTATGGCTCTTTGTTTATCATAATATTGTTGATCAATTTGCACCTGTCGTCCAATCTCATCTATATCGATATACAACCATTTTCACCTATCACTCGCACCTTTTGCAGTTGGTGACATGTTTACCTGTAATAACTAACTGACTAGTTACAATAAAACAAGACTTTCTTTAGTCTTAAAACGTCACTTTATACCTCAAAACATACTTAGAGCTTTTTTAATATGTAAAGAGTATACACTTTTTTAATGATATATTTTTTATATTGTTAAAATAAATTTGCGAAAAATTTATCAAAATTGTAGTTATCAAGATACTATCATAGGTATTCAAACCTTTAATTGTTTAGGCATGAATGGCGTGAAAACAATCGACAAAACATGATATTTACGCGTATATTAACTTTGTATAAACTACTTATTATGGACTAAAAGTATTTTGTCTCAGCAACGCACTTATTTTCCCATTTAATGGTTGTTATAAATCCTTAGTCATGTGGATTAATTAAGCCAATATATTTCACAATTTAAATTATTCTATACAAATAGGTATTAAGTACAAACTATATAGGCCTACAGGGTGCCTCATCTAAAGATATCTAAAGATTTTAATTGAATTGTAATTTCGTAAATGTCTTCTTAATAAACACCTTTAGACTGTTTACCTATGCTCGGCGTCTATTTGGGTTGGGTAAAATATTTTAAGAAAAAGAATCGCTAAAGCTAGGACGCTAAAAAGGATCGATGAAATTTATTTTGATGAGCCGAGAAACATCAAAGAGTAAAAGCAATGAAAGCTTTAAATGTCATGGACAATGAATGCAAAAGGTCATTTCAACCCGTAAAAAGTCACAACTTCAGCGGGTTCATAGTAGATAAAACCTAAAAGTATATCAGGGATTCCGACGGGCAACGGCTAGTCATCATGTAAAGAGGAGTTGAAAACAAACACATATGCTTATATTAATATTACTTTATTCAAAAGCTCTCCTTGTTCGTTTTGAAAAACTACATAGTATACAAATATTGGTCTTATAATTACTTTCAATAAAATTGGTAAGTGTAATTAATAAAAATATCACTTCTAGGCAAAATATTTGGTAAAACACACATTTTTCCCATATACACTACAGTTTTTAAAGGGCATTATTACTTTATATTTATTGTTAATATTGAGTCCCACGGTTCAGCTTTCCTTATAGAAGACTGACAGAACTTACCAATACACTTTATTGCAAAGTACCGTGTGTCCTAGATCAGTGGAAACACTTAAATTGTTTATGATAAGAAAACATTGCCCTGGATAGGCTTAAGTTTGATTTACTCGTCCTTGTTTTTAAAATATTGGATTCCAAATATATAAATACGTCACAACTAAGTTGATTGTTGAATTGTTGAACTAAGTTGAACTAATTTAATTGTCATAAATAAATGTAAAATTCATTTTCAGATCTAATATGATTGGAATGCTACACAAGATACCATGGCTTTAGCACTGAAATCATGAAAATAGCTTGCACCACTATTATGTACCTATTCACTTGAATGATTTGCGCAGCGAGATAACCAAATTAACAGACATCTCCGCGAAACTGTTATAGATGCCTTTTGTTGCTAGAGTTATAATTTTAAGGCATTGCAATACAAATTGGACACACGGACAACCATTTAACCTTAAATGTTTTAGGAAATCAGTACAAATTTAACAGTACAAAAATGCTTATTTACACATTATTTACAGCACCAACACACGATGTTATTTACGAAAACATTTTAACTAACCAAGTTACAGTATATCATGTAAGTGTTTACATAAATTAAACGTATACTAAATATGGACAGTATAACAAGCTGCCTACTGTAATAAAAAAAGATGATAATAAGTTAACAGTTGTGGTTCCAACTCAAACGTTGTTTCTAAAGAAAAGTTTATTTTTATTTTTAACATTACAAATGATAACAAAAATATAATAACAAAGAGCTACGACTACGTTTGAGCACACACCATCTCATACATCTTCACTGACAGGGTTTCTTCTGAAATGAAATATGGATAACAATAACATTGCAGATTTCAATCGATAACCTTACAATTTGACCAGAGTCTTCGACTGCATTAAGGGTTTATAAGACTTTAATTTTGTTACATGTAAGCAATGAAAGAAATTATGTTTATCAGCCTATGTCAGAAGTTGTGAGTTATACAGAAACGAATTAATGCCTTCAAAATATAATGTGGAAAATTGTAACGGTTAAATCATAATACAATTTTATATTATATTACCAGTCACACCCTTACACATTGTGTTCAGATTTTGGCTTATACTTTATTATTTGCAATGACTGATTATATCGATCATGATAGCTTAATATAACTGGAAGTTTGAGGGTTTCATGATAACTATTTTCCATTCAATTGTTTATTTTCTACATAACAATAACATTGTTTTTAAGCAACGAGACAATAGAAATTATAATCAGGATATTTACCAAGCTGATTTTATTTTTTTTTTATTGACAAGGAAAAAAGGAAAAACTTTTGTATCTAAACTTCATACAGTTTTTAACTTCATACAGTTGGAAATGTAGTAAGATTTACTTCCTGATTCGATTTCTTTTGCAGTAAATATCTGGTCGATCAGCATCGAAGTAACGAGTTACAAACAATACTTGTAATTGTCCCTTGTCAGTACAGTCATCGCCAGCTCGTCCCCCGTGTTGTAGAGGTTGTTGACCCAGACTAGCTGCCGGGCTGAGCTGATTGCTCCGATTGCTCCACGCAGATGCGGGTTGGGTCTAAGGGTTGCGTGTCTCCCTCCATGTATCGCTCCTGCAACATTGCTGTTTAATTATCCCAAGAGTCTTAATATTTTGCAGTTGTCTTATTTATATCTATCATGGTATGCAACAATGTTTTTATATATTTATACACACTTACTCGTGTGTTTTTAAAGTATCCTAATTAAAATCTTACGAGCTCAGTCAATGTTTAATATAGTGGTACGATGCAATTTATACTATTCCAAATGGCAGAATAGGACCACAGTCTTCCCTGGCTTGTAAGATAACTTCCCAGCTTTTCCAGTAAACAATTAATCTAGAATTATATTTTTCGTTGTATTGGATGCACTATTGCATAGCAAGAAATCTTTCCTACCAAACTTTTGTGTTGAAATGGGTTCATTCTCAGAACACCTCAATTTTCAATTTGAATTTAAAGTGATTAATTATAAACTTGAACTTACATTGAAGTTAATTAAATAATACAGATGAAATAATTCAATCAGCAATTTCCTCTCAAAATATCTCATTTGCGCCCTAGAGTTGGAATGGATCATTCCTGCTCGCTAAATCAGCTGATTTCTCAGTTGGGGTTTCTACACCAACCACAACCGCTGTTACAGTACGTTAAAACCGGTAAACAAATAACATAATCCAAAAAAAGAAAACATAACCTAAATGACATTTTATATACAACTAAAATTATATCAGTGTATAACTAAGTTAATAATTATGGTGCTAGGAAAAAATCTTGTGTGTATTACGAGCGCAAACACACAAAAATAGCTATTTAATCATGACAAAAATAAGATGTATGTTTATAAAGTACCGTTGAGTCGCCGCCACTCTGTTTACTTCTACAAGAACTCTTAGTGTGATTAATCGGTCCCAGGGGACGCCACCATCTCGGCCTGTCAGGCTTGCTGTCTTCAACCTCACCATCGGTCCCGCACTCCTGCAACAAGGAATATAGAAATTAACAGCTGTGTCTAAAAACTATCCTTTAGTCACTAACAAGACTAAAAGACCGCGCCACTCATCCTACACTCATCCTTCACTCAGATTTGGGTTTAAATACGCACATAGTGGCGTACCCATCTTAAATAATTGATAATTGATTGAATTGAATTGATATTTCTTTGATGTGTTTCTTCTTGCTAAATACCAAAGCTAGTGAACCGACTGAAGTAGTGCACAAAGGTCTTATACTTCGGCAATATGCAGACTTACCAGTCTTTTCAAAACTGCATAACTATGCGAACTATGCCACATATACGTCTAAACTATTATGTGGATGCAAGTTTGACTATTAGACTTGTTTATAAACTATTTACACTGATTAAATCATACATATGAGTTCTAATTTTTTATCCTTATATTAGACATTTAGCTTACAGGGTGGTGAGTTTGGTAGACATGGGCCGTGGTCTGGCTAGGCTTGTACAGGTCCCAGCTGTGCACGTACAGCTCCGCCACATGTACTAGGCGTCGACTGCTGCTGTGACGACGGTTTATCAAGTACCATCTGTATAGGGAAGTACAACATATATTACATGTGTTTTCATGATTTTATTTGCAATATGAACTCGTGTTTGTGGTCAGTTTCAATCCATGATACTCGTATTCTGTGATCAAGCTATTTGCCTATCTTTCTATTTATCAAGATAATTCTCATTCAGATATATTCACAAATAATTCCCTCATTGTGGATACTGCTATGTTATATGAAACAATTTCGATATTGCTACAACTACTTTACTGGCAACGAAAATCTATACTTTGATGTTAAACAAGACTTTATAGCATTGTTTTATATATATGTTTATATATATATTTGTTTTATTGTGAACTAGAACCTCGACAAACTGCATTCAAAATTTGCAAAGTAATGTCAAGTACCTTTAAATTACATCCATTAGTTTTCTGTGAATAATTTATGATTTTAACTATTTTATCCATATAGGATTTTCGATGATTATCGGCAACTAATAAGAGCTAAAGAATGGAACAATTTAAACTAGTAGAGAAAAACACAGTTAAGCTACATCAATTTTGAAACATGTATGAGTAATACTTCAGCCTCAGTTGACACATTACTTATTTATCTTCCCTCAAAGACTTTAAGACGGAACATAAATTCAGAAACCAATTCCACGAGACAGTCCAATTAACGCTCAAGAGAAATTTGTGTAAGCTTTGGAATTTCCAAGTTGACTTGTTTCGCTTGTGGCAGCCATGTTACCCAAGTAATTAACCACAACGTTTAATGTCACTTTGAGATAAATATTGCCTGTCACCTCACTAGCGGTAAGAAATGGAAATAAATTGCCCTTTGTCGTTTTAGGGAGCCATCCCTTTAAACGTTAAATCTAACTTGGTGAGTCATGAATAATGACATAATTTCAGGCATTACATCACTATGTTATATGCGAATATACATAATATGAAGCAATACCAAATTAACATATATATGAATAAGGTTAGTTACATAACAGTGATAAATCACCTTAACTGGTTTATTATTATTATTTTTTTCAACTATGATTAACCTTATTTATTGTGTTAATAATATTTAAGTACATGTAAATACACGTGAGTAATTTTTCCGCTCGATGTATCGTTTAGTCTGTGTTAAATGTATTGCAAGTGCTAGAACCTCAAATCAGGCTTATGTCTGCAAGGCCCTATATTTTTATTTTGCACATTCTCAAACATATTTAGGTTGTCGTAGTTATAATTTAATAATTAGTTATTTTGTTTAGATCGTCAGCCTTGTTTAGTATCTTACTTGAAATAAGTTTATATGTGAGCTATTTCGTTTTAGACACCAGGTTTTCCAGGTAATCATGTCAGCGTGAACCGAGAATTAAACCTTTCCTTCTTTCATCATCAGCGAAAAATGACCAATGGAAAAAATCAGCTTAACAATCAGCTTCTAGGTATCTTTTGATTTCTTTACCTTATCAGGAACTGATGTAGCCTGGCTATCTGACCCTGGGCCCTTAGACAGCGCGCTACTCCCAGTGTCGCTGATAAGTGGTTGTTCTGTAGTCTTAATGCTCGCAAGTAGAACATCAGTGCTAGTCTTGGTATCCCTGCAAATGTGCATAGCATAATAAATGTAACAATTCCTTATTGTTGATGCACAATGTACACAAACTATGCCAGTTTCTGTTAATAGCTTATTTAAAATTATGCTTTCGCCATATGTACCGGAAGGAAACACATAGATCATAATGAAATGTAACTAGAACGTCTGTTGGAGGATTTATTATCTCAGAACTCTAACGGTTTATTACGACGTACCTCTCTCGTGCAGCCATGTAGCGAAGTAGGCTTGGTAGTCAGGTGAGGTTGGTATCAGCTGTGTCACGTGGTACAACAGTCGGGCTGCTATTGGTGGAGACCTGAGCTTGGCCAGGACCAGGTATGCTGGGCTGTATGACGTGTCCAGCCTCAGACATCTCTCTAGCATCGTCACCGCCTCCATCGTGCGGTTCATCTTCCTGAACATTAAAAGAATCGTTACTTCTACGAGTGAGAGCCAGTGTGAGACATTGCATTTTGTGAAATTAGTCACATGGCAATCCTAAAGAAAAACTATTGAAATTAAGTCTTGAATGAATCAAGCACTTAATTGCAATGCACCATGAGTAAGAGCACCTGTATTGAAGTACATGTGTTTGTTTTGTGGCATAAAATATTACGAAAACGTATAACTACAATTTGGGATTAATATTTCAATTCAACATACCTGTAGACCTGACCGAGGTTATAGTGCGCATTGACGTGGGACGGCGAGATCGTAATGGCTGACAGAAAGTGATTCTCGGCTTCGTTTGGAGAACTCATCAGCGTGCCCAGATTATTGTGAGCGCTCGCATAACGCGGCCATAACCTAGACACATGTAGATGGTTATTAACGAGGTATACCTTTGATTATTTAGTCTCCAATATCATGCCAATAGCCAATGGTTATACAAAACACTGAGTAAGGAATTTCACAAAACACTGTTCAAATTCAAGTTGAAAGCATGTTCAAACTCAATTAAATTAATTTAACTTTACTAAATATCTGTTTCAATAGTATATTTTGAGATAAACATCGAAAATAAGGATTTAAACCTTGTCGAATTGGTACTTAATATTATTGGTTTTTTTTTCTCATATTATAAAAAAAACAATTAACGATTAAATTAATTTATTAAGAAATCCAAATGTGTGCAATAAAACAAGAAAACCTTTAAACCATCAATACCTAGGCTTAACATATATCATAAGTAGTAATTTTGTACCCCAATTAGAATTTTTAAAATAGCCAGATCTAAAAATATTCTTGTGCAATGAACGCTACAATCACATGTCTTGTATGAACAAGAGAATGAGGCTAACAATATTTCGCTGAACAAACCAAGCATGTGCTCCTCTGTATTGTTATTAAACTCGTAATATAGTATTTTACAAATCCATTTACTTAAGTTAATTTAATTTAGTTAATTATCAAACTTATAACCCCTAAGTATTTGCATTCGAACAAATACTATCTGCCATATAAAAAACATTAATGTTTACCTGATTGCCTCCTTATAATGTGTTATAGCGAGGTCTGGAATGTTGGTGTCCCGTAGGTAGTTTGCCAGATTGTAGTGCATCTTAGCGTTGTGAGGTAGAGCTTTGATTCCAGCCCTATATAAACAGTATAAAAACCCTTTTTTAGAATTCAATTTTACAGTGTTGTATGTCATTAAACGTAATTAATTTACATCTGGTATATAGTTTCTATTCGATTTATAAAATTTTTGGTGTCTATTTTAAGGTTAAGAAGAGTGAATGGTGCCTGATTTAGGTGACAGCCTTACCCCTGCCTCAGATCAACTAACGAAGAGAGATTATTAAAATCCAAGTGATCATAGCCACCCGGTTCCATTTATGAGTCACAAATATTCTTTTATTAATTTGTTAGAAACCACAGACACTAACCTGACAAGTGACTCCCTTGTCGCCCAGTCATTATTCCTGACGAAGGTTCTGCAGGAGAATGACGTCACCAGCAGCAGCAGCCCCAGCAGCAGGAACAGTCGACGGCGAGGTCGAGGACCACACCAGCCGTGTAACTGTTGGGCTCCGTACGCTACCAGCAGCACTCCTCCCAAACTGTACGTAAAATACACGTCACACGTCACTTTGGCGGTTATCCCAAATATATACTTCTAAATAACTTGTGTAAGTGTATCATTAGATAAATGAGGTTACCTAGGCATATAGAGGACCCGCTCGGCGACGACGAAGCCGACAGTGAAGAGGAGGTTAGTAGCTGGTAGAAATGGAGCTGCCAATAGTAAACCTGCTAACACCAGTGGAGCGTGCCTTTGCGCCTGCAACACATTTGGCAAATATACCCACTTTTGTGAGGCCATCTGGCCATAGAAATCACAGTGTGATTGTTACAGTACAATCCAAGCGTATTAGTTGTGTATTGTAATTGTGTTGTGCATATTGCACAATCCCTTTCACTTTTATTATTTTCAAAGTAAAAATGCAAGTTTATTTATTTAACATCATTAAGAAATAGTTTCCTGAGGATTTACCTTATTCAAACTTAAGGTGGTTTAAACAGTGGAATTGTTTGAATATAATTTATGCTGTCTTACATTAGGGTTTCCACACAATATTTATGGTCATTTTTAAATAATTTCGCAACATTTGGGCAACCATGTGTAGGAGCCGTTGTTTCTAGAATTATTGATGTTTTGTCGTTTCAGAGACAGTAAGAGAGGGATGATGTTTGATCGTGTGGGTCGCCTGCGGAGTTCATTAGTCAGCAACGCTGTCCTCCATTATTCTTAGCGTTAAACACTATCTTCTGAAAACACCACTGTGTCACAACACGTTTGGTCCTTCAAATAAACTGAGATATTAAATCACATCTCTATGAATTATACGAATCTACATGGTGATTAACGTAAGTTGTCCAGTATCTCAATAAAATAATATGTAAATAATCTATTAACATGTTGAAAATTAAAATAATAAACACGTTTAGTGATTTTAAAAATGTTTAAAACGTTGTGAAACCTCTGGAAAGTTTTGAAGCGTCCAGTGCTCAGATGATGGTCGAATATTACTATGGATTCATCACCTTAGTTTATTTTATTTACACCTCAGAGACAGTAATCACTCTAGGTGAACCATCGTGTATTTTTTCTTGAAATAAGTATTGTTAATCAAAATTAGTTATATGTTACAGTTAAATATGTATGGCGTGTTAAGACAAACAACAGTCAAGTTGTTTTACCTCAAAGTCAGCGGCGCAGCGGTAGGCGATGAGTACACAACAGGTAAGAAACAGCGCCGTGGTCAGGTTGCGACAGTCTGCTAGTGACGTCACGAGAGGGATGGAGCCCATCTGCCAGTCATGACTGAGGGTAGAAGGACATACTAGGAGCCACCAGTTGAACGCTGCTAGGTAGCAGAACGTCAGGAGCCTGTAAAGAGTAATGATAAGAAGTTAAGAGTCACAAGTGATGGACATGGGCCCGGGTTACTGCAGTCCAACTCTCAGTCTAAGAGTAGGCAATAGAGGGACGTACGAGCGTATGCAGCTTTAAAGCCTCAGTATCGGTATAGTGAATGTCGCTATTATTTGAAGGCGAATGTAAGAGCACATGTAAAAGAATTGGTAATCAAATTAAAAGTCTGTCTCGCGTGATTTCAACAATGTGAGAATTTGAGTTCATATATTTGGGACTGTATGCTGTTCGTAAAAATTTAAATGTCATTTAGGTAAGCCTAATCTTAAATATCATACACAATATTCAAGTGGTAATTTTCAATTGTTGAAAACGGTAGTAAGAATTCAGTTTACGCAGTTCAAGTCTCCAGTGAAACATGAACGTTGGTCAATAAATAAAAAAACACAATGCTACACATACAACGATCTTGATCAAATAAAAAAAAACAGGTTGCCCAACCCTTAAAAAAACTTGAAAATGTGTTTTGAATTGTTTGTAAAATGAAATTACTATAGTGAACCAAAAAATGAACCGTAAAACTAAAACAACTTACAATTAGTAAGTACTAAATATGTTTTTTTTGTAACAGAAAATTGAACTATACGCATTATATTTTTACTTTTAATATAAATTTCTTCTCATTTTCGATCAATTTCTGAAACGCTGCACAACAGCTAGGTGCAAGTATAGACATTATTTAATCAATGCTGGCGCTCACAGGCACAAAAGTCCCCCGCGGGTCCGTAACTGATTCAATATAGCTGTACACACAAGGCCCGGGCCGCCTCGGGGGATCACAACTCGCAGAAATTGTTTCTGCGAGGTAAACTCTTTTATCAGATTGAAAATGTCTGCTTATTTTAGGTAATAAGAAGCACGCTCAAGTTTTTATTATGAAACCGATATGAATACTACATGATTCTACATGTGATAATGAAACTTCTTAGCAAAGTTGATGTCAATTATTGACATTATTACGAAAATTAGTTTCAAATATGTTGTACCTGATTAGAAACATCAGAAGCAATTTTTTACTCTATTTAAATATTATTTGTATTGATAAAATGTAGATAAATATGTTCAGTATGCGTGAGGAAATGTATTGCTATACTAATATGTGTTTAGGAATTATTAAAAGGAAACGTGCATAATATTTAAAGACACATTTTAGTGATGGTATACGCTTTAAAACATTTGTTCAAATAACGTATTTACTACTCGCATAAAACACATATACACTTGGAATTCATTGGAATTTGGAAATAAATGGGGATGTACCGTGTCATTTATAGGTCAATCGAATGTTACTACTACTGTTAAATATTTATACATTTTACCATTAAGGGTGCATGTGTTCATAAGTATACATTCATTTTTAATTCCCTAATGCTTTTTTGACTACCGGGCAAAAAAGAGATAGGTTTTTACTATCTAGATCGTCTACGAAATGGTCTGTAATAAAAAAAATATGCTTTTATGCTACAAAAAACATGTTGTTTCAACTAAATAAAGGTTTTCAATGCTAGATTATATGTTTTGTGTTGCAATATAACGATTTGACCGGATTAGGACGAGTGAGATCTGGTCTGAAAGCACTTGTCCAGGTCCAGTGATGAACTCTACATTGTTGTCCAGTAAACCCGTCACAGAGACATGGTGGCATTGTGTGTGTAAGAGCTCTCCACCTCACACACATTGTGCTCTCCTTATGTGAAACTTTTACAAGGGTCTGCCACAAAACACATTGATTGATATGTAACAAATGATAAGTTATAGCCGTTCATACAAACCAATGTAATGCTGGGTCATCCTCAGAGCTATCTCAGGAGACTTAACTTAGTTGACGTATTTCAGGAAATAAACTAAATACTAACTTACACAAACCCAAAAGCCAATAAAAACACGAAAGACAACAAATGACACCACTTCCCCATTGGGACCCTGTCCCCTAACTCACTATACCATTGTTACGCCCAATACTGACCATTAGATTAAGTTCACAGACCTATTCAAAGCCTTCTGCAGGTCAGCACAACATATGATGAAGTGAGAGAATAAGTTACCTCTACATGGTTGTAATTTACTTAAATTTTTTAAGTCAACTGTAAGACCAATAAATATACCAAGTAAAGTTAAATATAAAAAAGTACGCTTCAGCTCTTCCTGCTAAAATATTAAGAATCTCACTTTTTACTTTTGGAAATCATTTTGAGATCCTAAAGACTAAAATTGGATCAACATTTACAGAGAAGAGTCAACATAAAGTAGTTTACACTATGAATGGCAGACACAGCACCACCTGACACTTATTAATACTTGCCTTCCGTCACTCAAGTCACAGCTCACCTTGTTTGCAGATTATTGCATTAGATCTCTGCTACATTATACTAACCTGACGTACGGACAAGGGTGAAAGGCTGCAGGATTGTCTTGGCTGGAGAACTTAGGTAAAGCTCCCTGCAACATTGCCAGCCGAAACGCCAACAACATACTCGTCTGGAACCCAACACGTGAAATCAAACGACTGATAATAAAAACAATGGAGAATAATACAGTGTGGTAGAAAAGTCCCGGAACGGTTAAATATTTTAAAAAATAATGCAGATAGAGCTAAAATACTTGGTACAAAGTTACAGGGCATAAAACTCTATTTTAACACATATTCATACATTGTATTCACTAAAAAAGACCTTTAATTTGATGTGCATATTGACCTATGCTTCCATTTAAGATTTTCTTCTGACTCCTTGTAGGACGTCCCCCTGAAGAGTGATTGAATCACTGAATATGTGTTAAAATAGAGTTTTATGCCCTGTAACTTTGTACCAAGTATTTTAGCTCTATCTGCATTATTTTTTACAATATTTAACCGTTCCGGGACTTTTCTACCACACTGTATATTAATAACAAAGTTCAGTGCATCTTGCGGATATATTGCCAATTCGGTAATGGCATAGCTTGTAGCAATGGGACACGAATGACAGTCAATATCAAAGCTATCCACTGCAAATATACGTCTAATTACAGTTGACATAGATATGCATATAATTATAAACTAATAGCCCCAAGGCTGTAGACAAACATCTCCAGTCTCCCTCGAGAGCTCATAATGTATAATGTAGACCCACAACACACTCGACACAGTCTGTCGCTACGTCTCAAACTTATGCTACAACATATGCTTGTATCTACAACATAGTAATAATGTCTTACGTAGTCACTGACAACTATCACAAACAGTTTTATATTGAGTTTAAGCAAATGGATTACTTTTTACACATTTGATACAAGTATATAACAAGCAGAAGCCGAAAAAAGTGACGACATCTAAACATTCTTATTTAAGTGTACAAAGAAACAATCACTTACCGCTACGAGTATTTTAGCCGTCCTGCGGGCGAATAACAGGCTTTCCTCGTTCCAGCGCGCTTCCGCAACAACCCTAAAACGGCAATGGACAGTGTGTATGTTAGACAGTAATATATTTGGTAGTGGTAAGTGTTATATAAAATTTACTAAAATAATCTTAACCTAATAATACAATAGTATATAATCATCTTATAAACTTGAGGGGAATTTGCGCCAAATATTCTGAATTAACTACATGCCGAACTTTCAATATCTCACGCTTGAAAGAAAGATAATTTTGAGAGGTAGAGAATTTCAAAGTCATGATTTCAATTTTGGTTTTCAGTGTTCTTATAAATTTATTTTATTTTTTTCTAAAACCTTGCAGCCAACACTTACATTGTAAGTTTGTTTCAATGCAATATAATATGGTTTAACTAAGAGCTAGTGTTCTTATGTAAAAATAGCATATTTGTGCTACTGTCGAAATTGACTTTTCCCCCCTTATACTATTTGGATCAGATGTTAAGAGAAAGACCCTTTCTGCAAACTGCCACTAAAATGATGACGTTATAAGTTTTTAAAAAACATTATCGTGTAGTGAGGGGGTTTTGGAATTCGTCTTAATTTTGTTTTTGTGTCTATCTTTAAGGCATAGAAAAGTCTAATCCTCTTTAAAACATTTGTATAGAAATATAAAAACTAAAAATGTATACTTATTTAAGCATTGTTGTTTAACTGATGGTAAAAAAAATTTAGAAATGTTTAAGTTTGCTTGTTTATGGAAATCGCAAATTTATCCTATTAACATCATATAAAAACATAAACTATACAAATATGATAAAACAAACACTTTTCCTCCTCTCTGTAGCAGCAAATATCAGTACTCGAAGAATGTAATGTTATTGAAATAGGAAATAAATATTATTTGCTTATTAAAATTGTTGGTAAAATATTACTTAGTCATCAGGTTGGCTGCAGTGGGGGATATTAAACCAAAAGCACACACTGTATAAAATAATTTCCTTGGTTGCATAAGTTTTGAGTATATTAAAGTCGATGTAGTATTAGGTACAATTTATTAGGTTATTAGGTTTGTTTATTAGGTACCTCTTAACATGAGGCCAACACTTGTAGAGATCGTATCCTAAGTTGACTAGAAGCACAGTCAGACCAGTCTCCTTAGCTAACATTGACAGAGCTGCCATGACACAGCTACATGCCACCTTGCCACTGCTACCACCAGGTAACCTCCACCCTTCACTGTAACACAACACTTGTGAGATTGTAGCCTAAGTTGACTAGCAGCACAGCAGACCAGTCTCCTTGGCTAACATTGACAGAGCTGCCATGACACAGCTACATGCCACCTTGCCACTGCTACCTCCAGGTAGCCTCCACCCTTCACTGTAACACAACACTTGTGAGATTGTAGCCTAAGTTGACTAGCAGCACAGCAGACCAGTCTCCTTGGCTAACATTAACAGAGCTGCCATGACACAGCTACATGCCACCTTGCCACTGCTACCTCCAGGTAGCCTCCACCCTTCACTGTAACACAACACTTGTGAGATTGTAGCCTAAGTTGACTAGCAGCACAGCAGACCAGTCTCCTTGGCTAACATTGACAGAGCTGCCATGACACAGCTACATGCCACCTTGCCACTGCTACCTCCAGGTAACCTCGACCCTTCACTGTAACACAACACTTGTGAGATTGTAGCCTAAGTTGACTAGAAGCACAGCAGACCAGTCTCCTTGGCTAACATTGACAGAGCTGCCATGACACAGCTACATGCCACCTTGCCACTACTACCTCCAGGTAACCTCCACCCTTCACTGCAACACAACACTTGTGAGATTGTAGCCTAAGTTGACTAGAAGCACAGCAGACCAGTCTCCTTGGCTAACATGGACAGAGCTGCCATGACACAGCTACATGCCACCTTGCCACTACTACCTCCAGGTAACCTCCACCCTTCACTGTAACACAACACTTGTGAGATTGTAGCCTAAGTTGACTAGCAGCACAGCAGACCAGTCTCCTTGGCTAAAATGGACAGAGCTGCCATGACACAGCTACATGCCACCTTGCCACTGCTTCCTCCAGGTAGCCTCCACCCTTCACTGTAACACAACACTTGTGAGATTGTAGCCTAAGTTGACTAGCAGCACAGCAGACCAGTCTCCTTGGCTAACATTGACAGAGCTGCCATGACACAGCTACATGCCACCTTGCCACTGCTACCTCCAGGTAGCCTCCACCCTTCACTGTAACACAACACTTGTGAGATTGTAGCCTAAGTTGACTAGCAGCACAGCAGACCAGTCTCCTTGGCTAACATTGACAGAGCTGCCATGACACAGCTACATGCCACCTTGCCACTGCTACCTCCAGGTAACCTCGACCCTTCACTGTAACACAACACTTGTGAGATTGTAGCCTAAGTTGACTAGAAGCACAGCAGACCAGTCTCCTTGGCTAACATTGACAGAGCTGCCATGACACAGCTACATGCCACCTTGCCACTACTACCTCCAGGTAACCTCCACCCTTCACTGTAACACAACACTTGTGAGATTGTAGCCTAAGTTGACTAGCAGCACAGCAGACCAGTCTCCTTGGCTAACATTGACAGAGCTGCCATGACACAGCTACATGCCACCTTGCCACTGCTACCTCCAGGTAGCCTCCACCCTTCACTGTAACACAACACTTGTGAGATTGTAGCCTAAGTTGACTAGCAGCACAGCAGACCAGTCTCCTTGGCTAACATTGACAGAGCTGCCATGACACAGCTACATGCCACCTTGCCACTGCTACCTCCAGGTAACCTCGACCCTTCACTGTAACACAACACTTGTGAGATTGTAGCCTAAGTTGACTAGAAGCACAGCAGACCAGTCTCCTTGGCTAACATTGACAGAGCTGCCATGACACAGCTACATGCCACCTTGCCACTACTACCTCCAGGTAACCTCCACCCTTCACTGTAACACAACACTTGTGAGATTGTAGCCTAAGTTGACTAGAAGCACAGCAGACCAGTCTCCTTGGCTAACATGGACAGAGCTGCCATGACACAGCTACATGCCACCTTGCCACTACTACCTCCAGGTAACCTCCACCCTTCACTGTAACACAACACTTGTGAGATTGTAGCCTAAGTTGACTAGCAGCACAGCAGACCAGTCTCCTTGGCTAACATGGACAGAGCTGCCATGACACAGCTACATGCCACCTTGCCACTGCTTCCTCCAGGTAGCCTCCACCCTTCACTGTAACACAACACTTGTGAGATTGTAGCCTAAGTTGACTAGCAGCACAGCAGACCAGTCCCCTTGGCTAACATTGACAGAGCTGCCATGACACAGCTACATGCCACCTTGCCACTGTTACCTCCAGGTAGCCTCCACCCTTCACTGTAACACAACACTTGTGAGATTGTAGCCTAAGTTGACTAGCAGCACAGCAGACCAGTCTCCTTGGCTAACATTGACAGAGCTGCCATGACACAGCTACATGCCACCTTGCCACTGCTACCTCCAGGTAACCTCGACCCTTCACTGTAACACAACACTTGTGAGATTGTAGCCTAAGTTGACTAGAAGCACAGCAGACCAGTCTCCTTGGCTAACATTGACAGAGCTGCCATGACACAGCTACATGCCACCTTGCCACTACTACCTCCAGGTAACCTCCACCCTTCACTGTAACACAACACTTGTGAGATTGTAGCCTAAGTTGACTAGAAGCACAGCAGACCAGTCTCCTTGGCTAACATGGACAGAGCTGCCATGACAAAGCTATATGCCACCTTGCCACTGCTACCTCCAGCTAACCTCCACCCTTCACTGTAACACAACACTTGTGAAATTGTAGCCTAAGTTGACTAGCAGCTTAGCAGACCAGTCTCCTTGGCTAACATGGACAGAGCTGCCATGACACAGCTACATGCCACCTTGCCACTACTACCTCCAGGTAACCTCCACCCTTCACTGTAACACAACACTTGTGAGATTGTAGCCTAAGTTGACTAGCAGCACAGCAGACCAGTCTCCTTAGCTAACATGGACAGAGCTGCCATGACACAGCTACATGCCACCTTGCCACTGCTACCTCCAGCTAACCTCCACCCTTCACTGTAACACAACACTTGTGAGATTGTAGCCTAAGTTGACTAGCAGCACAGCAGACGAGTCTCCTTGGATAACATTGACAAAGCTGCCATAACAAAGCTATATGCCACCTTGCCACTGCTACCTCCAGCTAACCTCCACCCTTCACTGTAACACAACACTTGTGAGATTGTAGCCTAAGTTGACTAGAAGCACAGCAGACCAGTCCCTTGGCTAACATTGACAGAGCTACCATGACACAGCTACATGCCACCTTGCCACTGCTACCTCTAGCTAACCTCCACCCTTCACTGTAACATAACACTTGTGAGATTGTAGCCTAAGTTGACTAGCAGCACAGCAGACCAGTCTCCTTGGCTAACATAGACAGAGCTGCCATGACACAGCTACATGCCACCTTGCCACTGCTACCTCCAGGTAACCTCCACCCTTCACTGTAACACAACACTTGTGAGATTGTAGCCTAAGTTGACTAGCAGCACAGCAGACCAGTCTCCTTGGCTAACATGGACAGAGCTGCCATGACACAGCTACATGCCACCTTGCCACTGCTACCTCCAGGTAACCTCGACCCATCACTGCAATACAATACTTATAGAGGTTCCGAAATGATCCAAATCACACTTTTTAACACATTGTTATTGAAGAGTTAGGAAAGTATTATAATGCTTTATCAGCGCTGTACACTCTCTTACCAGGCATTATTGTAAATCTATGCTATTCTTCCTAATAAGTAATTCCAGTGTTTAAAATGTATGTCAAATAAACTACAGGTATTATCCAAATACTAGTTCACAACAGTAGACATGCACGTTAGTACTTTTCTTATCATTTTATACATCTAACTTTTCCTCTATGTATTTGGCATATTGCAACCTCACCCTTGTGAATTACCACTTATGAATTATATCTCTTATCAAGTATGATGATATAGATACAGTGCCTTAGTGTCGTTGCACTAAAGATGTTAGTATAAAAAAATCTTGACATAAATTCTCCCATAACACGTGGTGCGATATCACTGTGTTTAAACTATTTTATTAGGTCTTCTAATAGTTGAGAAAACTAATAGTTTTAAGACAACTCTAAATAAAACATAAAGGTTTTATTTTGTAGAATTACTTTAATCAATTTAAGAAACTTCTTATGAAAATGTAATTCAATAATATTTCTATCTACTTACTCGTGGTAAATGAGAAAGGACAGAAGAAACAAAAAGCAAGCCAGGACATCGGCTCGCCCTACAATCCCAGCAACCTAGAAACATTATTAATTCAGAGCTAACATACGGCATGGTATGGATTAAACATATTATGCTTTGCAGTAAAAAAGGACAGGGTTAATATGAAAAACCTTCATATTTGTGTTTTTGTATAAGGAAACTGTTATTGAACATTGTTACTTGTTGCCTGTATTTCAATGAGTAGCCCTTAAAAATATGTGTAATTTTTCCTGTCTACTTTTTTAACATTTTCATGATACGGGCTTTTATAACACGCCAAAAATACGTATTAATTTGTATTGCATGAACTGGCAAAATATATTATGAGAATGCATTTTTTTTTAAGTACAACCTTTGTACACAATTAAACAATGAAACAACAATGTAAACAATAAATACCTAAACTTCAAAAGACTTTCTTTAAATTACCCCTTCGGTATGTATCGGGTGAGCCGCGAAGAGCAGACCAGCGACTGTGGCGAATCCTGCCTGCAGACCAGCCACGACCAGAGCCGCTCTGGTAAACAGCAGACAGCAGGCCACATGCAGCGCAAGGTTGAGACCATGGTATGAGGCTGGCTGGAGTCCACACAGCCAGTAGTTGAGTCTGTAACAAGTACAATGTTGTTAATAGACCAGCGACTGTGGCGAATCCTGCCTGCAGACCAGCCACGACCAGAGCCGCTCTGGTAAACAGCAGACAGCAGGCCACATGCAGCGCAAGGTTGAGACCATGGTATGAGGCTGGCTGGAGCCCACACAGCCAGTAGTTGAGTCTGTAACAAGTACAATGTTGTTAATAGACCAGCGACTGTGGCGAATCCTGCCTGCAGACCAGCCACGACCAGCGCCGCTCTGGTAAACAGCAGACAGCAGGTCACATGCAGCGCAAGGTTGAGACCATGGTATGAGGCTGGCTGGAGTCCACACAGCCAGTAGTTGAGTCTGTAACAAGTACAATGTTGTTAATAGACCCGCGACTTTGTCGAACCCTGCCTACAGACTGAATATATGTTATGTACCTAATTAATATGAATGAACTTGTCTCCAAGGTTTCTGCAACTTTTCAGGAAAAGGAGTATGTGCAGCTAATGCTAAAGTTATCTTAGTAAGTTGTTTGACGTCATAATCCACAACATCTTGCTGGGAAGCTTAAAGCATACGATGTGGGAGGTATGACAGATAGGTGACTGAAAGTCGCTTGAGTGCTATATCATGAATCGATGTCAAACCAGCTGGCTGTTAGAGGTGCCTTCTGAAGTGAAATGCATATACCAATAGTATGGTCTTCATCTACTTGAGCATTGCGTCCCACAAGGCTCTGTCATAGGCCCTCTGCTTTTCGTTATCTACATTAATGATCCGAGATACGAAGAGAGATCTCTCCTATACACAGACGACACTATGATATCTAGACATTATCGACTGAAATTGCTCCAAATTGACTATGAGAATCTCATGATGGCTGCCAAGGATAGGTTTGTGCAGATTGAGCTTAAGCTGAATGGATCTTGACTCAAAATCTAATCTGTACTTAAAAAAAGAAACATAGTTCCTGTCGAAGACTCACAGTGTTTGAAAATTTTAGGTTTCTGGATGGACAGCCAGCTCTCATGTGAAGACCACAATTTCCAACAAACTGTCAAAAACAATCTTTCTGCTTCGCAAAATCAAGCTAGAGATATCTGAACAGTATTTACTGACCATGCATGGCCTATCCCATAGTCACCTAAACTACTATGGTTATAGTCTGCAGTTGTGGAGTCATGCGCCAGGTTCTTTCAGAGATCTTTTACACTTTAGTAGAAGGCACTCAGAGTTGTTACATCTAGTAAAGCTGACACCCACTGTAGACCTCTTGTCGTGCGTCTGGGAGTTATAAAAATATTTTGCCAGTATGTCTTCAACAGTGTTGTACACTTGAGGAAAAACATAGACGATTGTAGATTCAGGGGTGACCTTTATGGCTGCAATTCTCGAAAACGGAGCCAGCTTGATCTTCCGGCCCATCGTCTTAGTAAGACTGCAAACAATTTCCCCACTCTGGCCATAAAACTGTACAATAATCTCAGCGTTGAAACTAGAAGCCTGTCGGTTGAAGCGTTCGTAGCACACATGCCTAGGGAGTTGACTAGCCCCCTCTATTCCATCAAGGAGTATTTTGAACCCCCTCACTCAGTTTGAACAAAATTATCCATCACCTTGTATATAGTGTAAAAAGTCTTTAAGTTTTAAATTTAGTTTATAACGCAATCTATCCAGCTATGGCTGTTCAAAGATGAATAGCCAGTAAAGGTAAATGTACCTATTGTTGCCCCATGACAAATACCTACAGAAATGTATATTTTTTTATTTTTTTACACAATAGTGTAAAATTAAATGTATTGCAATTAGACCAGGACGTTCACATGCGTGATCATCCATAAATGATCAGCTGTAAGTAGTATCGACCTCGACTTGCCATGGTTGAGTCACATCAGTTACTGATGACTCGCCGACAGTCTCGTTGTATCACGCGACCGCCATACCTCACGTAATCATATGGTTATGGTAATTTCACTTCATGTAATAGAATTATTATTTCAGTTACCCTCTTCACCATTTGAATGTATGAAATATGACAATTTAGTTCTTACAACAAATAGAGTTGGTAGAATAAGGCTATCAGTTAGTAGAGTGACAGACAGTGAAAATGAGGCAGGGATTACGTGAGTTCGTGTCCAAATGCATAAGTAAAGTTCATTTTCGCTATTTACAAACGCATCCCTTGCTTAACTAATAAGAAGTACCTTAGGTTACTTTAGTGACATTAGTGTCATAAGGTTATACATTAAACATAGCAGTCTACAAAACTTCTTGGTTTTTTTTCTAAAACAATTATAAATAATTACACAATTACCTTCGTTAAGAGTAAAGAATGTTGTCTAAATATTGGTTTGTAAAACACTAGTTACAAAACGTGTTGTTATATTATGTACGTATGAGAGGACGTCTAAGTTAATTAAACTGCTAACAGTTGGAGAACCTCTCTCGGTTTTGGTGCTACAAAAACTTGCAATGTAATTAATCGAGCAGAACAGCCGCCTACTTTGTATTCCGCCAGACGATGACGGACGTGCAGGGGGTGAAGGGAGGGATGGTATATTAGACAGTATAAGAAGGGATGGGGTTGAGTCATATTGTGACGTGAATAACAACGACCAACCTAATATTAGATTACCTATCAACTCGTCACAGCAAAACAAATAAGAAACAAGTAGGTGTTTGTGCTTAGTTTTATGCCCGTAGATTTAAAAGGGCTTACTGCATACCTTAATTAAATTTCTGTTTACTTACTGCTTTTTTGTACAGACAAAGGTTGGTGACCTCGTTTACCTCTCATTTTCGTTTCCACGTGGGCCACAGAGACATGTGCGTGGAACGTTACCAGCTGAGCAAAAGGGTAAACTGTACTAATACAAAGTAGTGGCAGATACCATGTTCCAAACCCACGACTTCACCGTGGTGCTATCGACTAAGCCACCTTCTTACAATAAGTTTTTATTGATCTGAGATTTGGTCATTTCAAGCATTTTGACAAAAATAATATTTATGAGACGGGCTTACTATGTTACTTTTATAATATTCATTATTAATTTGTCTATTGTATATTGTAAAATTATAAAGGATGGAGGTTTTACAGTGGTTCCTTTAGAAGACTGTCCACACTTATTGTAAGCTCCTATACATGCTCGTGGAGGTATGTTAACAAATAATTTAAATTTTACTGACAACTTTCAAGGTAGGAATATACAATAAGAAGGACGGCTACTAAATTGGTAAAAAAAAATGTTTTTGCTTAAAATATTTAAGTAATCAAATCAATCCAGTAACGAGGGCTCACAAGGTGTTAAATAGAATTAATCAATTAATCAAAAAACTAAATCTGCAAACTCCTACGTATTTTTCTTCCTTTTCCAAATTGTTTTTAAGTTGTCAAAAAGTCTCTGTTTCTAATGTAATCATTTCCCTCCATGTAAAGTCATGAAACTATTTTCATCATAACTAAAACAAATTGAATCTAACAATATACAAATACTTCCGCCCCAGCAAACCTATAGACTAAGCAAATTTTAATTTACCTGGCTGGATTTCTACTAAAACCCCAGTTCCTATAGTCCTATAGAGTTCGTGAACTGAAATGTTCTATCTGGAGCAAAGTGTGATTGAAAATTGACGCACATGCACCATACCCTCAACTATTAGTCGACAGCTGGGTCAGACATTGCAACGTGCTCTGTTGTGTCAGAAACATTGTTATAACACATTCCACAGTGTCTGGCTTTGTTGCTGAGGGATTCCAAATAGCTGTATTACTTTGTATTACTTATTGTATTACTAAGAACCAAATCACTTATTAAAGAAACAAATAAAATTAAATTTTCCTTACATGTTTAGAAACTAATATATGTTTTCCAACTACAGGTTTAAAAATATTATATTGTACTGCTAAGTATACACACATCAATTACAAATTATTTCTGTTTTTAAATAGAAAAAAAAAACAGCATATTTTGTCAATGGCGAGTAAGACAACGTTGAATGTTGAAGAGCGGTGAAAAAATAAACATTTAAGCAATATTGTATAACTTAATATGTTGTTTATTAATTTTAGGAACATTTCTCGCGTATATGGTACATTCTTATCTCTTATATTGTAAGAATTTTTACTTTTAGAAAACGTCCTAAAAGGTAAACCTTCCACCTTGGTATGTCTTTTCCAAATTTGAAAAACAATATTTAATTCAATTTGCCAAGTTAATGTTTTTCGTCTGATGTTTACGACATTGGGATTTCATAACATTTTGAAAAGTGTATTCAAGTACTTATTTATAATCATGAGTTTTAAAAAGGCATAGCACGTTACGCCTTACTACACTGTTTGACATTGTGTATAATCGTTTTGAGAGTAACAAAGCATAGGCAAGCTTGCATTTACATTGCGAGCTTGGTTGCCCGGTATATTAAACTGTTGTCATGCAGATCGAACTATCAAACCCTTTGTTTAGGAGTAAAGCTGCCATGTTATGTGCATTGCACGGATTTACATTCATGTTTTGTGGGAACGCGTAAACACAATCAAATATGGAATGATATTTGAGGGTTGTACTTAATAAAAAGAAAATTAGATATTTTACTGTTAAATATTCTACAATTTAGAAAATATTAACATATCTATGACCAAACTAATAGTAGATATTTCGCTACATGTTTCTTTAAAATTGTACGGAAATAAGTATTTGAGATTAGCTATAGAATATTATAAAAGTCGAAAAAAATTACTCTTGGCTGAAAATAATCTGGACTTTTCTAATATTTGAACCTATAACTAAGCTTTCAGTATACTATTAATTATAGTCATCCTGAACATGATTACTTATTTGTATTGTTTTTTTATGCTTTTTAATGTGTTTTTTGTAATTCAGGTATTCCATGTTTATAGGATCAAAATTATTCGTTTTAAATAAACTTTTCAAAACTATAAGGGGGGAAACCGACATTACATTTTGGACATAGGCATTCCTACTTCAGCAATTATGTTTGAATAATAAGCTTTTCACATTAAGCTCAACCAATGAATTACATTTTCCTACAGTTATAAGATTCTAGCTATAGACAAATCGGGATTTCTTGTACTGATTGTAGCATGGAAAGTAGCCAATTGCTGCGTTTACTTACTTTTGCCGCACTCATTTTACTTTTGCCGCATTCATATTTTTGAAGCACTCCAGTATTCTAACCAAACAACACAAAACTGGGTGCTTTTATTAGGCTAAAAATACGTGTACGCATGAAAATAAGTTGACAACACTTACGATCAGCTGTTTCAGTGTTATTGTTCGTTCAACGCTTGGCTTTAACCTAATCCAAAACGAGTTGTTTTGTGTTTTAAATATTAGTTAGTC